TCAGCAGCCAAGAAAAATGCCGGGTGTCCACTGTGTCCCCTGCATTGCCCACACAGTGCTGCTGGCCCGTGACCTACCTCCCTCCCTCCCTCCCTCCCTCCCTCCCTCCCTCCCTCCAATTCTTCGGATTCTGGACAAATTATTTTTATTTTATGTAAGCCTTAAACTGAGACCCGAGATTGGCACGATTCCCATGGATTTCAACGACCCAAGTACTGCCCTGGCTGGCGCCGTTCAGATGGTTGGAGTGTCCTCCCATGCACGAAAGCGCTGGTTCAGTTCCCGGTTAGGGCAGTCAGGGCAGTCAGGGCACATACTTAGGTTTCGGGTTCGATCCCTGAGATTTAGGAAGCAACTGATTGATGTTTCTCCTCTCCCCTCCCCCTCGTCCCCCCAATCAATAAAAACATATCCTAGGGTAAAGATTAAAAAAAAAAAAAAAGGATACCAAAGACTCCAGGATTTAGGTACTTCAGTGTTTTATAGGTGGCTTTTCAGTTTGGCCCCTAACTCGCCCGCTGCACCCACAGCTCCCTGCACCCCCTCTTGGGGACGGAACACCACTGTAATCGGTCATGATTCCATTAGGTGCTAATGTGTGCCAGGCTTTGGGCTCAGGGCTTCACACGCACGATTTCAGTAAATCTTCACAGCCACCGTAGCGGGGAGGGGTGCCGTTAGTCTCTCTATTTACAGCTGAGGAGATTGAGATTCAGAGAGGCTGAGTGACTTAGTCAAGGTCACAAAGCCGGCAATTGGCAAAGCCAGGCAGAATTCAAACCCAGAACTGTCCGACGCCGGATTGTGCATGCTTAACCGCTTCACGATGCGGGTACTCCAAGATATTCCACATGCTCCCTTCTCGCCTCCCATCCTGCCTCCCCTGCTACAATTTCTGAGCAGTGCAGGGGCCAGGGAGGCACATTCACCTGACCCTGAGAAATCGGCCACCACGGAGTGTCCCCATCTGCCTCTCCAGTAGCCAGTCCAGCCTGGCCTGGACGTCATGCCTGCTCCTCAGTTGAGTAATTCTTCGTTTTGTTTTAGGAAGGATGTAAACAAAGCAAGTGCGTTTCCATGTCCCCGTGTTGACATGAAGCTGTGTGGAAACCACTGAGCACGCACAGACGTTGAGCCGCCAGGAGCCAGAGCCGTATTTTCAGGGTCTGAATCTCTGCCTTGACACTTGCTAGCAAGAGACCTTGGGCAAAAAGCATACCTTCTCCCTGCCTTCGTTTACCCAGCTGTTAAATGGGGATAATAGGCGTCATTGCACAGGGTCGCTGTTAGGATGCAAAGAGTTAGTGCCTGGAGCCGCACTGAGCTGGACATGGAAGGAGGGGCATGCCCGGGGTGTCCTCTCCCGGGCTGCAGCCTGACCCCTTTCAGTGCTGGGCATGTGGGCCAGCGCCTCTGAGCCATCTTTGACCTACAGGCCTCTCCTCCTCCTGCGAGGCCCCTCTTCCAACGCCTGGTACTTGAGCTCCTGCCAGAGGTCCTTCTACTAAAAGTCCGTCTGACTTGGCAAGCTGCTAAAGTGCCTGTCAGGCCATTGTCAGAGGGCGTGTGCCTTGTGCAGCCCCCCAAAAGGGGGCATGTCTTCTCTGTGGTCTTGGCCAGCTCCAGGGTGGGCTGACGGGGAGGGGAATGTGTAGGGAGCTTTCACTGGAGGTCTGGTTTTCTTCCTCACAACCAAGGTGCAAGGTCGCTGATAGTTACCTTGGTCCACAATGAGGACACTGAGCCTTGGAGAGGTCTACCCAGGTATCAGATTTCATGCCAGTCTCCTCAGAGGTTTGGGCAATCAGAGAGAAAGTGCTTGGCAAAGAGTGAAAAGCTGGTTGAGCACAGCCCTCAAGGACTTTTGGAGCTGACCTGACACCTAGTGGCCACAAGTAGGAATTACCCCACCATTGGGAAGGCTCCAGAGCAGGCAGGGTTGGGGTTTGGCCGTCCTTCAGTTACTAGGTGATGTCAGTGTCCATGGGAGACCTGGGGGAAGGGGGGGCGGGGGGAGGTCAGGGTTGATGGTGGGGTAGTTTTCCGCTTTCCTGTATCTCCATCTTCTCCAATAGATATCCAAGCAGAAAATAACATTTGATCAAAAAAAATTGCTGCCTTTTCTTTTCTTTCTTTCTTTCTTTTTTTTTTTTTTGCAAAAGACAAATGAAAGCATCTTGAGAAAACTGTGTTTTTCACTGATCTATAACCCACAGTTGATAACACATTTTGATACTTTATGGCCTCATTATCCTCAGGGTTGTACCCAGACACCAGCAGTGACTTACAGGCAGGGGCCTTGATGGAAAATTTTATGGATTATAACATACGTAAGAGACATGGTCCCTGGCTTCCAGCACATTTGATTTATCTGGGGCGTTGGAGCAAAGACATCTACATATCCTGATGGGTGTGGTGGATGTGAGCTCCATCCCACAACCTCCTTATCGTATTTCTTTCTTTTCTTTTCATCCTCCTAATTTCAACTCGGAGCCCCTACCAGTGGTCCTCAACCTTCCTAATACCTTGACCCTTTAATATAGTTCCTCATGTTGTGGTGACCCCCAACCATAAAATTATTTTCATTGCTACTTCATAACTGTAAGTTTGCTAATGTTATGAGTCATAATGTAAATATCTGTGTTTTCTGATAGTCTTAGGTTCTAGAGCAGCGGTTCTCAACCTGTGGGTCAAGAACTGCTAGCAGGGTCGCCTAAGACCAACAGAAAACACAGATATTTACATTACAATTCATTAGCAGTAGCAAACTTACAGTTATGAAGTAGCAATGAAAATAATTTTATGGTTGGGGGAATCACCACAACATGAGGAACTGTATTAAAGGGTCTAGACATTAGGAAGGTTGAGAACCACTGCCCTATACCATCCAACTAATAGAAATTCAACGTCAGGCGAAGACTCTGAATAAGGATGGGAAAGGGGAAAACATGCTGTGGGAAGGGGGACATCCATCGTTTCAAGTAATGATCCTGCCACAGACAGGGAGAGGCCCGGACATCACCCCCACCTTGCGGCAGAGTGGCACCCGTGGCTGTGGCTTGATTCCTGGGTGCTGCCTGGCACTCCTCTGCTGCTCTGAGGTGTCCGCTCCGGGACACCTCCAGATTTCCCCAGTTTCCCACCACTCGCCCCAAACAATTGCCAAGTGAATGGGTCTGTTCACACCACAGGTATTTATTGAGCATCTACTACCTGCCAGGCACCAGGTGGTGCTACAGAGATGTTAGACACAGTCCCTGCTGCTCTTTATCCACAAAGATAACTGATGAGATTAACCAAGTCCCTTTAAGTTACCCCCCACCCCGACCCCCCACCTCCCCTGCTCAGTGTATGCTGTATGTGGCTATTCCTGTTCCTCTGCTCAACTCCTCAGGTCTCACAAGTTAAAAAAAAAAAAAATGTGTAGTGGGAGGTCCCTACAACCGATGGCAGCTGCCTCACTTCTCAGGTGGGACCGTGAGGCTCCCAGGCCAGGAGGCCAGGTGGTGCCAGGCTCACTTAGACGCCAGGTCTCTCTGCCTCCCATCCGGGCTCTCCTCACGGGACCCCTGGGCATATGCTCCTAAAGGCCCATGTCTGCATCCGCTGAGTGTCTGTCCTCTGCCATTGCTTCCTGCATCTTGAGCTCTCTCCCCTTGACACAGTTCATCATTACCATGACAACACGGCGTCTCCATGCACTGGCCTGCTCCCCACTGCTCTTTCCCGGCCGCCTAGCAACCCCACTGCCTCCCCCAGGTGTCTTCCTGGTTCCTAAAGAGGCCGACGTGGACACGCTCCCCTGTGGCCCTGAAAACCAGGGGGTGCTCCCCTGAGAAGGGCGCACCACCAGCAGCCCGGAGACGCCTAGATCAGGCCAGGCTTTATTGGCTCTCTCCCAGGCCCGGCCTCGGTGTTTGTCCGCGGGAGTCTCAGCCGGCGCTCCTCCTCCTCCTCCTCCTCCTTGCCGGGGGGACCGGCCTGCCAGGACTTCTCTGTCACAGACACTTCTCTCCGGGCCAGACTTGTTGCTATGGCTTCATCATTTCCAAGTCACTGGTTTGAAAGGTAAGGGGATAATGTTACCACCAGTGCAGCCTCCCGGCTGACGAGAGAACATTTAGGCTCAGATCCAATCGAGACCCTGGGGAACCCCACCTCTCGGCTTGGCAGAGTGCTGAACAAGGGTGAGGTTCGGAGTGGGCACAGGGGGAGGAGCAGAGAGCTGGGTTTCGTTGTTGGCCAGGATCTGGCAGTAGACTGACGTTTAGAATGTGCACACCCCGCCCTGGCTGATGTGGTTCAGTGGTCAGAGCACTGGCCTGCACACCAAAGGGTCACAGGTTCGATTCCCAGTCAAGGGCATGCATCTGGGTTGCAAGTTCAATGTGTCTTCCTGGTTCTTAAAGAGGCCAGTAGAGGTGGTGCAGGGTGCAGGCAACCAATTGAGGTATCTCTCTCACATTGATGTTTCTCTCTCTCTCTCTCTCTCTCTCTCTCTCTCTCTCTCTCTCTCTCTCTCTCTTTCTCTCTCTCTCTCTGTCTCTGTCTCTCTCTCTTCTCTGTCTCTCTCTGCCCCACTCCACTCTCTCTAAAAATCAATGGAAAAATTATCTTCGGGTAAGGATGAACAAAAACAACAATAAAGAATGTGCACACCTTTGGCCAGCTAGCACACCAGGTCTGCACCACCAGGCCTTTGTCAGAGAACACACATGTGCAAGCACTGCATACGGAAGGACATGGGTGACAGTGCCACTCGTAGTCACAAAACAGAAAACAAATGCCATCGTCACTGGCACGGGGGCGCTTGAGAACTCGGGCACCTGTGCCTGTTTGGGCCTGGCAGAGGCTGGCACGAGGTCGGGCTCACAGGTGTCGGTTATCGTTCTCAGTATTGTCACAGCCCCTTCCTATCTCTTCAAGGACTGAGCCTGCATCACAGCCTGCATCCCTCCCTAAGCCACAGGGGAACTGCGGGCCCCGTGCATGCTCCAGGGCATGGAACCCAACGTCCCTCTGCCCTCTCCTCTGTGTCCGTGTGCCACCCCCTCACCATGCCAGGGCCTAACCACTGCTCCTTTGTGCCACCTCCTATCTGCTGTGAGCACTGTGTCCCCAGAATCAGGCTCGCAGCCTGCAGTGTGCACTGAGCCCGAAACTTGGCCAAGTGAGCCAGCGGAAGATGAGGAGGGGATGGGGTGGGGGGCGGTGGGCAGACATGGGAGGGGGCAAAGGCAGCCTGCTATGCAGGGGAGACCAGGCCTGAGGCCATGCAGACGGGGTGGCCCCTGGAGCTCAGGGGTGCCTTCTAGAGCACCGGGCACCAACCTTTCGGACCTCACGGACCACCAGTGGTCTGCGGACGGTGGGTTGGCGACCGCGGTTCTAGAGAACCGAGGGCCTGCTGGGACAGAGGCTGGATGGGGCCCGGGCACGGGGCCTGTGCTGACCTGAAGTTCACCATGCCAGTGTTGTCTTTCAGCCGCTTGATCAGCTCCCTGAGTTGGTACCGGGTTAGGGGGATCTTGTTTTGCTGAGGAGGTGGGTGGAACATGTGAGGTTAATGGAGCTCTCAGCCTACCTGCTCTCCAGCCCCCCCCACATACATGCATGTGCACACACATGCACACATGTACCCAGGGGCACAGGGACAAGCACACCATTATCATGGCTTTCCAGAACTCGCCCACAGGCATCTTCATCAGCCCCGTCGGGGTCAAGCTCTTGAAAAAGTCCACGACCCTGATCTTGTTCTGCTCGGCATAGATCTGGGGGAGGGAGACACCAGGAGCAGATGCTGGCCCACGTAACACCTCTAACAACTCCCCTCCCCACCCAGGCCAGCAGGCCAAAAGAGGGCATGAAGAGGCAGTCCCAGGAGCTCGAGTCTCCCGCATGTGGGCCACTTAAGATCAAGAGTGCTATCCGCACAGGGCACGGAAGGAATGGGGCAGTGGCTGTGTTCATGTGCATTATTTAGTTTTGAAGTTGCCTCTGCTAAGACTCATGTGGATGGTGCACTGTGGGCAGTGGGTGAGCTGGTATTGGCTTAGAGTCCAGAAGCCAATCAACCGAAGCCACGCTGTTGTGAGGGGCGGGTCTGGTTCTCAGAATTCACTTAATCCTCATCATTTCACACAGATGCTTATAACTGTCTTAGAGTATTTAAAAAATACTCTAATTTAATTTAAAAAGTATTACCCACTCGCATTGTAAGGTAATTTTAGATGTGTAGAAAGAAGAAAATGAAAAATAAGCCATAGATCCAATCCCACTATCCAGAGGTAACATCTTGATGTGTATCCTTTTTCATCTATCGATCTATCTCTATCTATGTATCATCCACCCATCATTTTTCCACTGAACATACTGGTTTATGAAATGCACTCTACCAATACACTGTGAACACCCTTTCAATATCATTAAAATATTCTTTGGGGTCCTTGTTTAGGATCTTTGCTCACCTGAATCCTTGATCATCAAGGCCCTTCCCAACCCTATCTCTGCCAGGAAGCATCCTTTCCTGTTTTCCAGCCCTACATGCCCTCTCATCTGGGCTCTGATGATCTCTGCTGCTTTGCCACTTATTTATTATCTTTCGGACAAAGCAGGGGCTGCAAGGAAGCCAGAGTCCAGGTGCCAGAGGGAAGCCGGTGCTGGCAGCTGGGGGGGTGGGGTGGTGGTGAAGGCCTACTCTTGCACGAATTTCATGCATCAGGCCTCTAGTTTACCATATGACCCTTTCTATTAGCAATTCCTATGTCTGTCCCATTTTCCAAACCCAATTGTTGGCCCCTGAGTGGAAGGACTGCATTTAATCTTCACAGCACCCCTGCCAGGGTGTGTATTTTTGTTGTGTCCATTTTACAGGTGAAGAGATTGAGGCACAGAAAGCTCCAATGACCTGCCTTTGGCCCTACAACAGCAAGGGGAGGAGCCTGGCTGGTAGAAACCACCTGGTTCCAAGCCCCTCCCACTTCAGCCAGTTCTCAGCTGTTCCCTCCTGCTGAGGGCTCCCGCAATCCAGAGGGAATGTTCCTAGTCAGAGGATCCTTGTCAGAGAGGATTGTGCAGACGCTTGAGGGGGGAGGGGGGGGGAAGAGGCGGAGAGACTCTGGGTAGCTGACTGGGGCCAGTGCACCACTCTCTGCAGGGGTCCCTGTAGGGGCTGAGAGGAAAGCAGGGGCTCACCTGGATCAGCTTCATGGGGTTTGAGGACTGGAAGATGGATTTCTTTGCAGAGAGGCCTTGGATTGCCTTGTAGATCACGTCCAGCTGGGGGTGGATGTTATACACCCCATCTAAGATTCTCACGAATTGCTCGGACACCATCACATGCTGGGGCAGGGAGAGAGGGGACACACCATGGGGAGGGGGCCACCATCGTGCCATCCCCCTGCCCAGACCAGTGTCCAACCCAAGCCAGCCAGAGGGCCATGTCTCTTCCAGTTTGTCCTGCAATGCAGCTCCTAGACTGAGGGGAGGGGGGAGTAGGGGCTAAGGGGAGGGTGGGGGTGGTTCCCGTTGTTTAGAGCTTGTGGTTTAACTTGTATGCTTCCTGTGTGATGGGTCGGACGTTGTCTGCGTGCTGGGGGCTCATCACAGTGTCATCTCAGCGCTCTCAGGCAGCAAGCCTAACGGTCTGCGTGCGGCAGGTAGGATGCAGCGATGGGGCTGCCGACGGGCCCATCCCTGTGCCAGGGCTGGTCTGCAGAGCAGGTGCCCTGGACGAGGACCCCGCGTGCCCCCCACCTGGGCACGGCTCAGGCCACTCTGGGAACTCCCCTAAGGAAGTGCCCCGAGACCTGGGGGTCACAGGCCGCAGGAGGAGGTGTGTTCCGTGAAATAGCGTCCGAGAAACCCTGGCCTTCCTGGGGAAGATGAACCCGCTTTGTTCCTCGGGTTTGGTTCTGAGTATCTCCGGCCTTTCAAAGACTTAGATCCATGCTGAAGGGCTGAAGGCTTACTCTTTGTGTAGGTATTCTAGAGAAAGTTCTAGAAGCATCTACAGTGAAGGAATTCCAACACCACAGAGTTATGGCGGCATAGGTGAGGACAGGGAAGGAAAAGGCTAATTCAGACCTTTTGGTTCTGGTAGGCTTGTGGGTTTATTTTATTTGTTTGTTTGTTTGTTTGTTTATTTAGTAAAGAAAGCTAGAATTTATTGACCACAGCAACAAAGACAACAACAAAAACTCCCCCAAAACCCCCTTAGGACAGTGAAACACAGAAGGAGCTAGAGGAGGCTACAGTAGCGCCTAGGCCGGTCTGCTCTGGCTCACTGGGAGGTCAGAGAAAAGGGGGCCTCGGAGACAGGCTCAGGGGTGAGCCTGGGTGAGCTGCTGCTGCCCATGGCTGCCCTGGTAGCTAGCCTCATGGGGCTCCGTGAGGTATGTTGTGGTTTAGGAGATGCGTGTCTGCTGGGGAAGGAGAGCGGGAAGGGAACGGCACGGGTGTGCCCCCTCCTGGTCGGCTTGTTTAGTGGCAAAGTGACCCTAGGTCATGGGGCTCTGTGTTATCTGGAGCCTAACAGCACCATTTCTGACATCCCCTCAGACACACCAAGGCAGGTCCTGGCTCCATCCCTCCAATCAGCTTCGTGGGAGGGAAACCCAAACATCCATAAAATCTGAACCCGTGGTACCTGTGCATGTGACCCTACTTAGAAACAGGGTCTTTGAGTTAAGATGTGGTCAGAGGTGGACTTACTCTGATGTTGCCAACAACCACTGGATGTTAGGAGAGGGGAACAGATTCTCGTTCTAATCCTCAGATTCTCTCTCTAATCCTCAGATGGTGCCAAGCCTGCCAACACCTTGATCTTGGATTTCTAGCTCCCAGAATTGGGAGGCAATAGGTTTCTATTGCTTAACCCTCCCAGCTCATAGTCCTTTGCTACAGCAGCTCTGGGACCTACCTCCCGGAGGAGGATCCACTGAGCCGGCAGGTATAAAGTCACTTTGGGGGCAAAAAGAGTATAAAGTGATAGACAAGTGTAGGACACAGTTATTCTCAGCTACCGCCTCTAGGATGATTCAGGTGGGAGTGCCTGCAGAGTGAAGTCACTTCCTCAGGCTTTCCCCATCCTTCAAGGGATTTATTATTTATTTATTTATTTATTTATTTTTTTGCCTTAAAGACTGCTCTGAGTAGAGTAAGTTAAGTTATGAAATGAAAAATGCAAGCCTGTGCATGTTTTATTACTCAGATTTTAAAAGCCCTGTGATTCTGGAACCTTGCTGGGATCCGGGGCCGTCCTGGGTCGGATATCTGTGTTTTCCGGTGGTCTTAGGCTCTACAGCTGCGGTTCTCACCCGCTAGCAGGGTCGCCTAAGTCTTAGACCCTAAGGCCATCGGAAAACACAGATATTTACATTACGATTCATTCACAGTAGCAAAATTACATCTATGAAGTAGCAACGAAAATAATTTTATGGTTGGGCGTCACCACCACGTGAGGAGCTGTATTACAGGGCCTCTGCATCAGAAAGGCTGAGAACCACTGGGGTGGACGGCGTCTCACTCCCGGCCTCTGACTGACAGCTGCTCCTACAGAAAGGATTCCTGGAGGGGGCAGAGTCGCCATCCAAAAGGAGTGACCTTTTCAGGGAGCTTCTGGGTGAAGGCCCTCTGAGGGGTGTGGCTATTGGCACCTGCTGACACGGGTGCAAGCCACAACCATCTGACTACTTACGGAAATGTCAAGGTATTCCATCTTGGACCTGGGGTTCTTCCTGATGGACGTGATGAGGGACAGAGCTCCCTCCACGGTCATAGGGTTCAGGAACAGCTGTGGGGAGAGGGGCGGCACGGAAAGAGGCTAAGGCGGCGACAGGAGAGGCTGGCTCAGGGCACGGCTTCCGTTCCTTTCCCTCGAATCGCAGTCTCTGTCCCGCCCAGACTTGTCTGTGAGCACTGTCTCCCCGCCTGTCTTTCTATCCTGTGTCCCGCCCGCCTGCCCACTGGGGAATTGCTGCTCAAACTCGGCTCTGAGGCAGGAAGCCATGAAGGCCAGGGGAGGACATCAGCCTGGGAGAGCGTCCTGCAGACCCAGCATGGGAGTGAGCAAGGCCCTGGCAGGCCCATGGAGATGAAAGGAGACCCTGAGGCCTTGGGGGGAGCAAGGGAAAGCATGGGGCAAACGGAGTTTGGAGAAGCACACAGGCCTGAGAGACCCGGATTTGAGCAGCAGGTGGCCACAGAAGGGTCTCAGCAGCAAGAGAGTAGGTGGGTGAGAGTTGGGGGGAGAGGTGGTGGAGTCATTTATGCTCAAGAGCCTGCAGGAGACCCCCATGGGAGGAAAGAAGACCATCTAGGGGGTGAGTACTGTACGTGCACCAGCTGAGAGCAGGGGGCTATACTGGGTGGATAGCAGAGAGGCAGCCGGGAATATACGTACCATGTGAAGCACCAGGCACATTTCACAGCGATTCTCCTCAGCAATATCCAGCCCCATTGCCCTGCTGCAGCCATCCTCACACACAGGACGCACACATACCTACACACAATGCACCGATACATACCTGGATGCGCACTCATGGATGCACACACACACACACACACACACACACACACACACACAGAAGCACACGCAAACGGCTCTACCTTCAGAGATCGGAGGCACTCGTTGAACTCCAGGCCTCTGCTGATTTTGGAGATCCCTTCGTTGCTGATGTCATTGTTGCTGAGATTTAGGTAGGCCAGGGAGCTGTTGTTTTTGAGGACCTCCCCGAGGGCCGCGGCCCCCTCGTTCCCACAGCCATTCATGGAGAGATCGAGTGTCCTCAGGGTCACGTTGGACTCCAGAGAGGGGGAGAAGAGCACCGGCATCAAGGTGCATCTATCCCCGCCGGCATCCGGGCTGGGGACTCGGGGTCCCTGGAGAGGGCTCGCTGCCAGATCTCCGCAGACCTCCTGGCTGCACTCAAGTCTCAAGAACACACTCCTTTGGGTTCTGGTCATTCCCTACCCCATCATTAAACTGCTCTCTTGAAGTTCTTCCAAAGATGCCACCTGGGCCCTAGCGGGGTGAATTTCTCCTGGGCAGAATTTATGCTAAAGAACAACGTGCATCCGGGAATTGTGGGAGGAAGAGCTCAGTATGTCCGTATCAGGGGCAACCATGAGCCAGAAGTTCAAGATGGCAGGGCAGGACCTCCCTCGCACCCCCACCATCCCACCCTCACTCCGTCACTTCTTACCCCGCACCCCCGGCTCAGCACACCGCTCCCAGGGAGACCTTACCCGGAGACCGTAGTTCAGGGACACAGCAGCCCGGCCGCATAAATGATTCCAGCTCAGGTCCAGTGTCAGGAGCCCTACATTGAGGGCTAAAGAGGGGGTGGGGGATCAGGTTAGCATCCACCCCCTGCCTCCCAGAGAACCCCCTCTTAGGGCTGGCAGATAGCTATGCCACTGGGAATGAGGAGAGGTCAGTGCTCAGAAAAAGAAAAACACAGAGGGAACATCTGCTCAGTGATTCATTTGAACACAAAATGGTAAGATGATTTCCAATGTTGACAACGATGAAGTAAAAATAATCCTACTCATGCACTGCATGTGGCAAGCAACTTAATATCATCTATTTGGCAAATATCATCTGGTCACAAGTACTTCCCTATAAACACGTGTGCACCCTGTCACACAGCGGTATCACGTCTGTGATGCCTCCCAAGGGGACAGGCTATGAGATGGCTACACGCCTGTAGCTGTTGGCCATGGCCTCACTTATCCGAGTAAGGCAGGGGACAGGTCAAGTGAAGCATCAATATCCACCTGGTGGGATGTTACTCATGAAAGTAGAGGGAGACAGCCTGAAAAATAGGAGTTGTGTTGACTCAGGGAGGTTGCGACCCTTCCATGAAGCATTACATCCTGTGGTGTCGTTCACATAGAGACCTGCAGGGGGCAGTGGTGGGTCCAGACTTTCTATTTGGTTCAGCTTTAGGGACCCATTGGAAGTAGCGAGGCATCAGGCTTGTCTAGATGCCAGGTTTGCATGGAACGTGCACTGTTTTTTTGTTTTTTTTTTTTGTTTTTTTAACTTAAAGATTATTTTGTTTAAATGCTACCCGGGGCCGGGAAAGCATCCTATGTAAACATCTGGTCATTGTTACTTTTGTTTGGGACAAGGTGAGATGGAGTTGAGTATAGATAGAGTTGACTACACTCTGATTGCTGGGCCACTCCCTTGTCCCATGGTTTTAAATACATGTAGATGCCTTTGGATCCCAAATGTATTTGTCCGGCTCTGACCAACCTCTAAATTCACATAGCAAACTGCCTCCCTGATGTCTCCATTACCAATATTCCATGGACTGAATGGAAATCTTGCCTCCTAACTCCTGCCCCTCTACCCCTGTGACTCCCTGAGTTTTTCCCTCATGTAAGTAAATGACACCCACTCAACCAGTATCTGAAACAAAAGAACCACGAGTCTATCTTTTTCTTCCCCTCGTTCTTCAGGTCAAGTCCTTTTGACTTTGGAGCCAAAATATACTCTGACTCCATCTGCTCTCCATCACGGCCTGGTCCCTTAGCCCAGTGGTCAGCAAACTCATTAGTCAACAAAGCAGCAAACCGCAGCTCGAGAACCAGTTTGCCGACCACTGGTTAGCCCATGCATCATCCTCGGGCCTCCTCATTGGCCTCCCTCCTTCCATTCTTGTTCTCCTCAGTTGCATTCTTCAACAGAAGTTCCAAAGCTTCGAATCAAACCACATCATCCCCCACATTCACATCCTTCACCGACTTCTCATCACAGGAGAATAAAATCCAGGCTTCGTGCACATCCAGGTCCCACAAAACTGATGCAGGTGGCCACCTCGACGACCTCTTGTCCTTCTATTCTCCTCCACTGTCCACTCTGCTCCAGCCACACTCCCCCCCTTCCCCATGCTCCTCAGATGTGCCACACTCTATTCTTTCTGCCTCGAATGCTGAGCTTCTAGAAGCTAGCACGCTGCTTCTTTAATCATATTCAGTTTTCAACAGAAAGCCATCTTCCCTGTGGGTCTTTCTCTCATCACCCCTCTCCCCAGATTAGCACCCCCCACCCCCATACTAAGTGCCTCCCCTTGTCTACTCCTTTCCCCAGGGATGACCATTTAGGAGCTATTTTTTTCTTTTATGACAAGTTTGCAATGGAACTCCTTAGACATCTGTGTGTATGTGTGTGTGTGTGTGTGTGTGTGTGTGTGAGAGAGAGAGAGAGAGAGAGAGAGAGAGAGAGAGAGAGAGAGAGAAGAAGGAGGAGGAGGAAAAGAAGGAGGAGGAGCAGGAGGAAGAGGAGAAAGAGAGGAGAAGAGAGCTCTGAGACATGGAGAAGTGAATTGCTGCATCCTAGAAGATATGCATTTTTAATTTTACTAAATACTGTCAAATTGCTCACCTAAGTGCCTTTACCTAGCAGCTTCTGAGGGTTCTTATTTATCCCTGTGTTCACTACAGTGTGAATTCTCTGATTTGAAAATTTTGCAGCTTTGATAGATGACAAGGGGGAATCTTTTTGTTGTTTTACTAATGGCATATCTCTAATTACCAAAGAGGTTGGCATTTGGCTTTTTTTCATTGTCCATATGCCTTGAACACTGTTTTATTTTGTTTTAATTTTATTGATTTCAGAGAGGAAGGGAGAGGGAGAGAGAAACATCAATGATGAGAGAGAATCATTGATCAGCTGTTTCCTGCATGCCCCCTATTGGCGAATAAGCCTGCAACCCGGGCATGTGCCCTGACCGGAAATGGAACCATGACCTCCTGGTTCATAGGTTGACTCTCAACCACTTGGTCACACTGGCTGGGCCTGATCACTGTTTTTTGGAGTGTTTATCATCATCCAATTGACCTGTAGGATCTCTTATCAACCTTTTGAACACTAATCTTTTATAGTCTACAAATGCTGCAAATATCTACTTCTGACTATTACTTGCCTTTTAACATTGCCCACAATGTCTTTGATCATCCCCAGTTTTGAACCTATTGTCAAATACAAAGATAATTTTTGTCATGGCTTATACACACTGTACCTATGCAATAGGCGTTAACCTCTCTGAGGTCAGCAAATTCTTTCTCTAGATGTCCTAATCGTTTTAAAGGTTTACTTCCCACATTTACACCGTATTTCGGGTGTGGTCTCTTCTATAATGAGAACACTCAATAGCAACAACAACAGGAGATGCAGCTCTGACAAGAGATGGTTTGCCAAGTCCCTCTCCTTCACCAGCCCCTCCCTCCGTGGGGACTCACCCAGCATGTTGCCCAGGATCTCCCCGCCCTTATCAGAGATCTCGTTGTGGCTGAAATCTATGTCCTTAATTCTGTAATTGTTCTGGAGAAAAAGCAGAGGAGAGAGAGGTACTGTGTGTGGGTCTCCCATGGGACTGCAAATGCCTCGCGGATCCTAGGTCAGTGGGATGAGGGCTCCCACATACCCAGAACAAGGGGGACTAGGGTTCTTACACTGAAGACAATTTGGTGTTCATTTTCTGTTTGACCTTTAATGATACCTGGGCGAGTTTATGGTCATCCAAACAGTCCTACCCGCTGCTGTGGCTTTGGCCAGGATGGGGAGGGTCCAAACATTCACCAGCGCCCTACACCATGCACTTGCCTAGACCCAGAGGCTCCCCAGGCCCCCCAGGTCTCCAGGGACATCTCCCACGTGGCTCAGCGGGACCCACCCCTTGCTTCTTACCGACAGGGCCTGGAAGAGCAGCTCTGCAGACTGGTCCTTAAAACAGTTTCCTGTGAGGAAGGAGGGGTTATCAGTGCTCTCCAGGCAGGGCTCCTTTGCCCTCCCACAGCCTTGCTCTGCCAGTCTCCTCCCCTCAGAACAATCAGATATAGAAAAAGTGGCAAATACTTAAAGCAAAAGTATGGACACAGAGGAAAACAGGAGGAAAAGGGCAACTATTTACCATCCCCTTTGACATTCTCTTCTTGCTCTGCCTGACTGTCAGGGGAGTTCCAGGAGCAGAAACACTATACCCTGTGCATTGCTGGAAGCATCAACCCCTAGCCTAGTGCCTAAAGTGTGTCACAGTATAAAACATGCTCCTACAGCCCAGACGGCATGGCTCAGTGGTTGAGCATTGACCTATGAACCAGGAGGTATGGTTCGATTCTCAGCCAGGGCACATGCCCAGGTTGCAGGCTCGATCCCCAGTGTGGGGCCTGCAGGAGGCAGCGGATCAATGACTCTCTCTCATCACTGATGCTTCTCTCTCTCTCTCCTCTAATGTCCTCTCTGAAATCAATTTAAAAAAATGCTAATATAATCTAAGCAGTAGAGACATACCAGAAGGGGACAAGTGTGGCACTTGCCTTTGCATGCAAAATCTAAGGGGCACTGAAAGGCTCAGTAATCTCAATGAATAATATTTTAACATTTAAAAAAGTCCAAAATCAATGCAGAAGCATCCTATATAATAATCCTTTATAATAAAAGGGTAATATGCAAATGGACTGAACGGCAGAACGACTGGTCACTATGGTGTACACTGACCACGAGGGGGCAGATATTCAGTGCTGGAGCTGCCCTTAGCCCTGCAGGCTTCGATTGCCTGATCAGAGTCTGCCAGCCAACCTCTCAGTTCCTTCCCCCTGGCTGGCAGACTCCGATTGCCCGATAGAGAATGGGGAACCGGAGGTGGGTGGCAGTGGGGGGTGAGGGCTGAATGCCAGCAGCCAGGGAAGATGGCCCTGATCTCAGGCCAGGCCTAGGGATTGTACCGGTGCATGAATTTTGTGCGCCAGGCCTCTAGTTTATGATAAACAAAATTTTTAAATGTTAAATAAGGCAGGACCTGACCTGCACTTGAATAGCCAAGCCTCACTCATCTCACCCCACTCTGTCCCTTTTTTAATTTTATTATTTTATTTTATGAAACTCCATTGACTTTAAAGTCAATTAGCTCTTTGTTTTCAGTGAGACAGATGCTAAACTAATTTAAAACAGGGGGTCAGGTAGTAACAAATGGCATTTGCCCAATCAGGGCAATGGATAGGAAGTAATGGGAAGGGAGAGGGGCTGCTTTGAGGCAAGGTGTCAGAGCCATCCCCTAAGGAGATGACATCTGAGCGGATGTGAATGAAGCAAGAGAGCCATGGAGACATGTCTGGGGAAAGAGACTTTAAAGCAGAGGAAGGAATGTTGCAAAGCAAATCAGAAGTAGATGGTCCAGGGAAACTGGGAAGCCAGGAAGCCAGTGTGGCCATGGATAGGGGACAAGGGTGGCTGGAGGGGCTTGGCAGGTGCAGATACAGGGTTCTGGCCTCTTGAATCAGAAGCGCCCGGTCCAGTTCATCTCAACTCTGATTCTCTCTGCCTTTCACCTTCTTCCTTTCTCCTTTCCATCCCCAATGCCCTCTCCTTTCTCTTCCCTGGGCTCACCTGCTAGCTGAAGACTCACGAGTGAAGAGGAATTTTTCTGGAGAAACTCTGAGATGATTTTGGCCCCCTCAAAACCAAGAGCATTGTCGGAAACATTCTAAAATGCAAGAAACGGTTGTGTGTGTACAAACCCCAACAAAGGGTCCTCATTAACAAATGATATACGAGTGGGGCTGACCGGAGACCTACGCTAAGGGCGTAGGTTCTCGGTGGGGAGAGGGGCCTGGGGTGAAAGAAAGGGAAGGATCAGTGTGGTCCAGAGGATAGAAGAACAATAGGGGCCTGGCTTTTCTGTCGCCTCACTGTGAGGCTCTCGAGCTGGTCTCAGTTTGCTCTGAACTTAGCTTCAATCATTCCCCACTTCCCCAGCTGAGCTCTAGTACTTTAGAGAGCACATGGCAACTCTTTTGAAACCCAAGTCAGCTATATTTGAAGAGTTTGGCATAACATAATTGGAAAAATGAGTTTAGAGTAAATAATTACTTGCCAGTTCCATTCACTGATTCATGAAGCATGAATTGCTGCACTGGGAAGAGGTAGGGAGATAAATGAATATAGTCCTTGCCCTAGCTGGTTTTGCCAAGTGGCTAGAGCATTGGCCTGTGGACCAGAAGGTCCAGGGTTCAATTCCAGTCAAGGGCACATGCATGGGTGGCAGGCTCAATATTCAGCAGTGGGTGTATAGGAGGCAGCTGATCAATGATTCTCTCTCATAATCTAGAGTTTCTATCTAACTCTCCCTTCCCCTCTGAAATCAACAAAATATTGACTGAATGGCAGAACGACCAGAACAACCAGTCAACCAATCACTATGATGCACACTGACCACCAGGGGCATACTCTCAATGCAGGATCTGCCATCTGGTGGTCAGTGTGCTCCCACAGTGGGAGTGCTGCTCAGCTGACTGGTGAGTGGTGCTCCCACAGTGGACCAATCCCTATAGGCCACACTCCTCACCAGTGCACAAATCAGTGCACTGGGCCTTTAGTGTATATAAACATTATACACACACACACACACACACACACACACACACACATTGTCCTTCCACGCTAGTGGGAGAGATTTTATATACATTAGCCATTATTATCTTAAATTTTGCATCTTTTTACTGTGGTAAAATAGATATAACACAATGTTTGGCATCTAAAAACCACTTTTTAGTGTACAGTTCAGTGGTCTTTAGTATATTCATATTGTTGTGTGACCATCACCATCATCTATCTCCAGGCACATTGTATTTTTATGAAATTATTTCATGTTTTTTAAATTTTTTACTTTAAGGCAACTACACAGAAGTGAGTTCATCTATTTAGGGGTTTATGAGGTCCAAACAGAAATGGTTTCTTAGGGTTTCCTACAGCCACCAGGAGCACAGTCCCCTCTGGCCAGCCTATAAGGTGTGAACCTCCTCTGAGAAGTCACTTCTACCAGCGAGGGGCCCCAGACACACTGCAGAAAGCCTGAGGCTGGCCTGGGTTTGGGCAGGGCCTCGGCTTGTCTCCAGCGGGCTCTGGGACCCCGGGTGTGGTGGTGGGAACCAGCGGAGCAGGCACAGTACCAACTCCTGGAGGTAGTAGTTCTCTTGCAGCATCTCCACCAGGCTCAGGATGCCCTCCTCCATGATACTGTTGTCTGCCAGCTCCAGGGTGATCAGAGATGTGTTGGACTTCAGCCACAAGGGATGGGGGGGGGGGGGGGGGGAAAGACAGAGGTGGTTGGTGACCTAGGCAGTTCCCTGACCTTTCCCAGAACTTCCCAGCCATGTCAGAAAAGCACAGAGAGCAGACGAATCTCTGGATGGATCATTTTCAAAGCAGGCAAGGCAGTAAGAGAAGCAGCAGGCGGTAAGGAGCTCTAGCTTCAGCAAAAGGGAGAATGTGCTGCAATGAGGGATGGTCTAGCACCGTGATCAGCAAACTGCGGCTCGTGAGCCACATGTGGCTCTTTGCCCCCTTGAGTGTGTCTCTTCCACAAAATACCACGGCGTGGGTGAGTCTATTTGGAAGAAGTGGCGTTAGAAGAAGTTTAAGTTTAAAAAATTTGGCTCTCAAAAGAAATTTCAGTCGTTGTCCTGTTGATATTTGGCTCTGTTGACAAATGAGTTTGCGGACCACGGTCTAGCACATTGTTACCAACGAGGGACAGTCCTCCCAGGGCCTTCTTGCAATGTCTCTGGTCCCAGCTCTCTGGGGGGGGAATAATTCCATTGTGCTCAAGGGAGATGGCTTAGGTGGCCACCCAGTCTAGGTGTTGTTTAGCAGTGTTCAGAAACAGGTCGCCCTGGGACTAGCACAGCGTGTGGTACAGCAGGCAGCCCGATCCCCAATTCCATCCACATTCATCTCTCCCTCTGTGCTGAGTGTTGGGGAAACGAGATGAGCAGACAACATCGCTGCTCTCCAGGGCACCGAGGGCAAGGACCTGGGGCCAGGCCGTGGGGGAATAGAAGTGAAGAAGCTGGAAATGGGGCCCTTCCTAGTGGGATGCCTTTGACCCACCCCAGGCAAATGCAACATGGGAAAAGTTAAACAGCACAAAAGAAACACAAAGCATGAGTCCACCAGAATGTCATAGCAATTATCTAGTGAGTGACACAGAGAATCAAGGAAGACAAAACTCCTCCCAAACAGGAACTATTGTCACTACTGCCTGAGTCCTGAAAGGATTTCATAATTACCCTTTGTACCACCCCCCACCCCCGCCTGAGCTCCCCTCTCTCCATCTCCCCTCCCACCATGAAACTCAGGAGGTAACGGTGCATTCCTAACATGACATGAATCCGCCTTATAATGCTCAATAAATTTAAAGATGGCTTTGTTCTTTCTCTGTTCTTCCCTTCCTTTCCTCCCCCTTTTACATTTCCAAAAAACGAGTGAGCGGCTTTTCCTTTATTAATTGAACTTGCCCTTTATTGTCCTAAGTGAACAAACAGTGTGGTGCTCACGTACAGCTGTTACATTCTCTGTTTTCCTGAAGCGGGAATCGGTTCCGTACATAACCAGTTAGGATTATAGAAAGCTATGATGCATTCAAGGGCAAGTCCATGCCAAGCCCAGAGAGAACATCATTCCTATGGGAAAACCTGGCCCACGCTCCAGAGTGATCCTTAATGATCAGGTAACATTGCAAAAGGCAGACACTGAATGGAATGGCTCTGGCATTGAGACCCAGGCTGACCTTGGGAGAATGTGCTAGAGGGAGGGAATTAGCACCCGGCCCACTTTCCCGAAGAGGAAAAAGAGCACAAATTCCAAGGTCCAGATCTCTAGCAGCCTCCTTCCCAGCACCTACTGGGGAGTCCCTGACTGTAGGGAAAATGGGCAGTCAAGCTGAGCCTATGGCAGGTAAGGTGGGCATCCCGGATACAACTTAGGGTCCCATCACCCTGCCACCCCCCCCCCCCCCGAACCTCTGCCAGGCTTCATGTGCCTCCATGGGCATGCTCACCACCAGGGCGATCGCAATGGCCTTAGTACCGTGGGGGCCCAGCCCGTGGTGGTTGAGGTTCATGTAGGACTCCTCCATGTTGAGGATGAAGTAGGAGACAGGCACGACACCCATCAGATTGCAGGCCTCCATGTACAGCTCCTTCTGCCCGGTGGTGAAATACTTCTCAGTATCTGCATAAAAAGATGCGAATGGTTGAAGCTGGGGGGGGGCTTCTCTTCTGTCTTTGCCTTCTCTCTTCTGACCCCAGGCCATGTTCCCTTCTGATCTGTCTGTCCCTTGGGTGTGAGGTTAGAGGGCAGCTCCAATGGGGAAGTCAGCCAGCCCTGGGAGGGAGACTCACATCCAGAAAGGCTCAAATGGACGTCTCCCTTTGGGCCGACACAAGGCCCCTGGGGTTTAGGCCCCAGGCTCTCCTAGGACGGTGGTCGGCAAACTTCAGCTCACGGGCTACATGGGGCTCTTTGGTCCCTTGAGTGTGGCTATTCCACAAAATACCACGTCCGGGTGCACACATACAGTGCAATTGAAACTTTGTGACCCATACACAGACGTCGGTTTTCGGCTCTCAAAAGAAATTTCAATCGTTGTACTGTTGATATTTGACTCTGTTGGCTAATGAGTTTGCCAACCACTGTCCTGGGAGAAGGAGGCCCATGCCGACTTCCTGGGTTGGCCACATCCAGGGACTGACCACCAAGGGTGCGTGAAGGCCTAGTCTCCTGCCCCTCTTGGGGCAGCTCTGAAAAGCCAGACGAGAAGCTAGCGATCTGTGGTGGTTGAGGGAGCCTCCATTTCCCTTTTAGTTTTGCTACCACTGTTAAGATGTGAGCCATAAAAGTATTACTGAAGACTTAGAGAAGTGACAACTTAAAAAGCCCACGTAGGGCTGAGTAGGCTTCCCATGGGGGCAGATCAGGGCAGGATGGAGAGACCCTCAAACCAGCCAGAAACAAGGAAACTTGCACGTGAGTTGGCTTCCCTCCTTCGCAGACTTGCATGTCATTTTTTCTCTATAAAGATCTGTGATCCCTACTTTCCCAGTGACAAAGCTAGCCCAGAATACACACAGTGCTAATGCCAGCCGACAGATGACCTTCTGGAGCCTTTGTCTGTAGGCTTTAGACAGCCTGGCCCATGGGCAGCGGGCAGTGGGCCTGCCTGGTTGCCCATGTCCCACTGGCAAGACTTCCCAGGCCAGCTGAGGTCTAAGCCTGTGTCTGTTTTTTCTTCAGATCCCAGGGAACTTTGGCTAAGCCACCCCAAAAATTTCTAAGGTGGACAGTGGAGCTTTGTAATGATCAGACAACAGCTTGACAAGGAAGTTGCTTTTGCAGGTCAGGTTCACACCGGCTCTCTCTCTGCGATGGTTCTAGGGCAGGGTTTCTCAGTCTAGGCACTACTGACCAACTGACCGGCAGTCAGTGTTGGGCATTCTCCGCTGTGAGGGGCTGTCGTGTGCAGTGTAGGAGATGTAGCAGAACTCCTGGCCAGCAGCATCCCCCCAACCCAGTTTGCTAAGTATTCCCTGGGGTGCAAAATCACCTCCGAGGGAGAGCCGTGCATGTCTGCATAGGAGAAACAGCATGAGGCGGGTGAGCAACTTCTGCTCCCTTTTGTCACCTCACACCAGCTTGTATTCCCATGGGCTCCTGTCTCAGGCCGTCCCTGGAAGCCCTCCCTGCCCCAGTACCAGCCTCTCAGCCCCAGCTGCAGGGGCACCAGGAGTGAAGCCTCCGGGCCTCGAGCTTCTGTCTCAGCACAGAGCTGGCACCAAATGTAATCACTAGAGGTTCTCCTTGGCCAAAGCAGCATAGGGCACCCCCAACTTGTCCCTGGCCCTGACTCTGCTCTGTCTGATTCTGCCCACCCCTTCTACCTGTATTCACTATGGTTGTGTTTTAGAGGCAGCCTGCAATACTATTACCACTTGCAGGGAGTCGGGGCGAGGAGAGGAATGAGTAGAAGCAGGGGTTCTGCTTCTTCCAACCATGAAGCATTCAGTGTTGAAAGCAACATTCACAACAGACTTGAAGTGGAAAAGTAGAAAAAAGAGCAATAATCTATAAATCAACAAAATAAAAAAAGAAAAAGAGAGAAAGGGAGGAATGGAGAGAGAGAGAGAGAGAGAGAGAGAGAGAGAGAGAGAGAGAGAGAGAGAGAGAGAGAGAGAGAGAGAGAACAGAGGAACAATATGCCCAGGGGTGGCAGGGCAGAGGTGAATTGTATGGTGACCACAGCAGGGATTAGGAACTGACCCTATAGAGGAGTTTGAGGGTTGAATTTGACTGAACAGCCTCGCCTCCGTGTCTACCGCCTCTGATCACTGCCCACCACCCAGCACACAGGAGAGGAAGGGCCACTGCGCCAGCCTCAGCGGGGAGGTGTGAGGCTGGCCCAGCAGGAAGGGCCTGCATTGTTCTCGCCTTGCTTCATAGGTGTTCTTTGTGGCACTTCCCTTGTTGGGAAAGCCAGGAGGCTGAGGAAGAGGAAGAGGAGGAGGAAGAGGAAGGTGGAGGTGCTGTTTGCAGTAAGAGAGTCTTTGCTGCAGCTGAGACAGTCTCCCACCCGCACCCCCCGCGGTCATGCACTTGGATTTGTTAGGGGCTCTCACACAGGGGAATTCACACAGGGGCTCTCACAAACTCCACTGTGAGGAGAGGCATGTCATCAGGAGGCAGGTCGGGCCACAAACACGCAGGGGCCTCTGGAATATGGAGTGCTGGAGGCAGATTGGCAGGGCGGGGTGATCTTGGAATCAGCAAGCGTTGGTAAGCTCTCGGTGGCCTTGGGCAACTCATACAATCTCTTTAGGCCTCAGTTTCCTCCTCTGCCAAGGCAGGCAGGAATGCCTCCCTCCTGGGGCTGTGGCACAAGATGCCACGTGTGGGAACATTTGGGAGACCAGAAATGCCCGTTCATCGACTGGCTCGGCACTCAACAAGCTGATGTGCCCACGCTGCTCACCCGCCAGGCCCCATGCATGGGGTGGAGCCATGGCCAGCTAGGGAAGCCAGGTCTGTCCCCCACCCCTCCCAATGCCCCGTTCACCTTCAATCTCGAGGTCTGTTTCTGAACTCTCCCGGGTGGGTTTCCCTTTATCCACAGCCGGGGCGGACTCGGCTTCACAGTAGAGCATTTCATCACTGCTGTGCGGTGTTGACTGGGTTTCAGCCTCCTCTGGAACGAAAACACATCTCCGTGATGTTGGAAAGGAAACCCGCCAGCCTTTTAGGTGGAGCCACTTCCGCTTCCCTCCACCTCGGTTTCCTCCTGTGCCTCCCAGGTTCTGGCTGCCGCCTTTGTCCCCCAGCTGCATGTGGCTCCAGACACCAGGGACTCCATTCTGCAAGCCCTCCCTCCCCGGCACTGTTGGCCCCCCCCACCCCCAGCATCCGTGGGGTCGCATGCTACCCTTCTGCCATATTCCCACCCTTGGGCCTGACTTGGACATTGGCTTCTTGCTCCCTCTTCTCTTTCTTCCTGGTTTGGGTGGGGTTCAGAGTTGCTTTACTCTGAATGATGGTGAAAGTCACAGGCAGGGTGGGCGACTCGGTCAAATGTAAAATGAACCAGAACAGGAGTGGTCTCAGGAATCAAGAGGGATAACTGGATTCCTAAGAATTTGAGCTAACTTCTCCTCCTTCCAACCCAACATCTATTTTATGACCACAAAGAAGGCAGGGCTTGTAAAATCACCCTGGGATTAAATTCATTGCTATAATTAAATAGCTTCCCTCACTTGCTAGACATGGTCTTTCTGCCACTGGGCCACTGATCTGCGACCAGCTGTGGGTTCCTGACAACTATACACACATGTCCAGAGCTCATCCTATATCAGAAGGAAGCAGTGGTTTGGGAAAGCCAGGCTGCACTGCCAGAACTGAGCCAGCCTATTCTTTGGGTGGACTGAGTATTTGTGGCAGGGGCTTCAAGTTTTGACCACCCAGGTTCTAAGATGAGAATTCCTAATGAGTCTACACAGGTCTGTGTCTTTCTTAATCCTTGTCTATAGACCCACGCCCCGACATTTATTTCCCAGCCTGTAAGATAAGGTCTTTGTAATAAGGGGTGAGAGTAGCTAGTGGCCTGGTAGTTAGAAGACATACAGCAGATTAGCCAGCAAATTTAGCTATCAAGAAGTGATGACTTTCTGAGTCTTAATATCCTCAGTAGTCAAACAATTTTAGAATTCCATCCAATCTGTAGAATACTGGTAAATGTCTAACTGACTCTCCAGAAAAAAAAAAAAATCTGATGTGTAGTAAGAGCCAATTCCAGTGGTGTAAATGTTCCCAATATGGGTGATTTCAACTGCCAACATGATGTAGACCAGCTCAAAAAATGAAATCCAAAGTCGGCTAGAACTGGTAGGAGCCAATTCTGGCACAAACATGCATTCAATGCTCTCACCCCCTGTTTGGCAAGTCCTGATGCCAAGTCAATGTAATACATTATCCAAAATCTAGAGGGCCCCAAGTAAGAGGGGCTCTAGGCTTCTGGGTCCATGTGATCCCTGGGTATTACACTGAGGCGGCCTGGAAGGGCTGGAGTGGTGAGAGATGGGATGCCTTTTCACCTGTTGTCTCAGACTCAAGAGGTTCATCATTGTCCATGGTGCCAGGGGCCTCTTGGGGGCTGCTGCCAGCTTCTTGCCACCTTTCAGCTGCTTCCCTAAGAAGCACACCTGTCCATTCACCTCTGTCTCAAACTTTGTGCTCTCTGCTCTCACATAGACAAATCTGGGGGAGTGTGGTTATCTTCCTATCCCTGCAAGCCCTGGGGAGAGAGGGCTTTGGTGGAAATTGGACATGTATGGATTTGACCCCAACTCTGGAAGAGATAACTACTTCCCAGAATCATCAGGGAGAGTGGTACAGCTAAATTCCTAGGAGCCCTGTTGAAAGGATGTCCATCTGCCTGCAACTTTATGACTTAGGAGCCACTTTCATTTCATCGGCAACATTCCATGACCTCATGCAGACATTGTGATCCATGTGAGTGGACCTGGTAACAGCAAGTCTGCCACCCTCTTGGTGGCTCTGACAGTCATCTTTTTTCATATGTCTGCTGGGACCAAGCTAAGGCTTGGCTGTGATTACAAAGGTGCAGTGGGGGTGCCTCTCAGTGGTGTTGTGTTTCCCTCTGAGTCAGGACCAAACCCAAGCCCCTCAATCAGGTGACTGTGAAGAGCTGCCACCATGTTCTTCTCTCAAGGTGGTTGTGCTTCAGGTACGAAACTTCTCAGTGATGGGTGAAGTCTGTTTTCTTCTACCCAGTTCTCCTTCCTTTGTTCTTTTCCCCCTTGGGAGAGTATCCTCAATCTTGAAGCAGAAGATCTAAAGCAAAGCACGACAAACATATGTTCTATCACTACAATTTGTTGCAGCCAAACCTTTGTTCAATCCAAACTACTGGGCTGCCTAACTTGAAACCACTCAACCATCATTCCCATGCTTGGCTGTTTTTACGTTCGTTGAAGTTCACTTGCAGTTTACTGTCAAGAGACTCTGGAGGCATGTTTGTTCCTTCTTGATAAACTTTCAGCACATCAACGTTCAGGTCAGTGACTACAGGGCTTGGGGACATGAAAATGCCTCTTTGCCACTCAGAAGAAGGTTGAAGATCTAGGAATTTGTGTGGGGGAAAATATAGATCCTGGGATCAAAAGAAATATATAAATCTGAGATGTTAGTCATTTCTTCAGGCATTCAGTCTGAAAAATATAGAGCAAGGCACTAAAATAAGCACCATTATGGGGAGGGGATGCAGACATGATAACATGGACTTTCAGGGTATCCAATATAATAAGAGGTAATACGCCAATTGACCATTACCCCAACACACAAGATGGCCACCACAAGATGGCCTGCAGGGGTGGGCAGTTGTGGGCAGTCAGGCCTGCAGGGTAGGGCAGTTGGGGGTGACCAGGCCAGCAGGGGAGAGAAGTTAGGGGTGATCAGGCCTTCAAGGGAGGTCAGTTAGGGGTGACCAGGCTGGCAGAGGAGGGCAGTTAAGGGTGACTGGGGGGGCAGTTAGGGGCAATCAGGCTGGCAGGGGAGTGGTTAGGGGGTGATCAGGCTGGCAGGTAGAAGCAGTTAGGGGCAGTCAGGCAGGAAGGCAGGCAGGCAGGCAGGCAGGCAAGTAGTTGGGAGCCAGCAGTCCTGGAGTGTGAGAGGGCAGTCAGACATCCCTCTGGGGTCCCATATTGAAGAGGGTGCAGGCTGGGCTGAGGGACACACACACACACACACACACACACACACACACATCCTGTGCTCAAATTTCATGCACCGGACCTCTAGTATTATATAACAAGATAGAAATTGACAGGGCCACTTCTAGAGTGTGAGGATCCTGAGCAAATATTTCTGGCAGAGCTACTGTTCATATAAACAACTCAAGTCACCCTAAATAAGCATGGTAATACCATTCTAGTGGTCCAGTCTTACAGTTGTGGTTTCTTGAAATACATATCAAACAGGCCAAGGGAGTGATCAACTCCTGGCATAATTTGGTAGGCACCAGTCATGGAGAACCTCGGATCATCTGGTCAACCCCACATTGATGGAAAGGATAAGAAATTGTCCTGGAAGGAGAGAAATTGGGACTAGCGAGTATATAAGTCTTAGTCTAAACTCTGGATAGGACCAGGTGGTCTTAGGTACAAAAGGCACATTAGAACATTTGGAGGAAGGCATTCCAAATAGCCACTGGGCACAGGCACTCCTTGCCTGGGCCTAAGAGCAGTACTGGGAATTGATAAAGGTCATGAGTGATATGCTCCAGGAGTTTAAGGAGAGTGAGGTCTCTTTATGCTGGGGAGCATTCATGGGCTCTGGACATGGATAGTCCAGGGGAAAGGCTTTTGGACAAGTATAGTCTGAGGGAAAGACTTTTATATTAGGTCTAAGACCCATTAATTTTTTTAAAATCAGGGTACTAACATAAAATCTACAATTTGACCCTATTAAAGTGTACAATTCAGTGGCATTAAGTGTATGCACAATGTTGTACAACCATCACCACTACCCATTTCCAGAACTTTTCCTATGATCCATTTTGAGTTATTTTTTGTATAAGGTATGAGGCACAGGTCGAGATTCATTTTGCATGTGGATGTTCAAGTGCTCCAGCACCATTTGTTGAAAAGACTGTCCTTTCTCCATTGAATTTTTTTTTAACCACTATTAAAAATCAGTTGGCTATAGGCATCCTTTCAGTTTTTTGTGGGCCTAGCATTTCAGAAACCACATAACCAGCAATGTGATGCACAATCTATCAAAATGTTGCACTATGGTTCCTCTTATTAACAAGGGCTATGTTCAAGATCCCCAGTAGATACCTGAAATTGTGGGTGGTACTGAACCCCACATTGTTTTCTCCCATACTTACATACATACATGCATACATACATATCTATGGTGACATTTAATTTATAAACTAGGCACAGTAAGAGATTAACAATATGACTAATACTAGAATAGAACACTTATAACAATATACTATAATAAAAATTATGTGAATGTGGTCTCTCTCTCTCAAACTGTCTTCTCGTACTGTACTTACCCTTCTCCTGTTGATGTGAGATGATACAATGCCTACAGTAGATGAAGTGAGGTGAATGACATAGGCATGTTGACCTAGCATTAGGCTCCTGTTAACTTTGAGGAAGGAATGCCTAGGAGGAGACCTGAAGGTCCATCAGGCAGTAACCAGGTGAAGGCAGAGAGATGGGATAGGCTCAGTGGGGGAGGAAAGGTATTTGAGGGTGAGAAAAACATACATACAAAGTCCCTATGGCGTGTTGAGCGAGTCTCAAATTGTTTAATGAGGCTGGAGTGTGATTCTCATGGGGAGAAGTGGTGGTGGGAAAGAAAAAGAGAGATGAGATGGGAGGCGAGCAGAGGCCAATAATGAAGGGCCTTTAATGCTATGCTGAAGAGTCTGGCCTGTGTTTGAGGTTTGAGGGTGAGGCGGGCGAGGGGGGAGAGGCTTTAAGCAGCAGTGTGACCTGACATGACTCGAATAGCAGAAAAACTGCTCTGGCTGCAGGGTGGATTGAAGATAGGAAGAGGATCAACATCAATTAGGAGTGGCCGCAGGGATGAAGTGGACTGAATAAATATAAAGGCCATACTCCTTGGACTTGGGGGCAGATCAGATATGGAAGTAAAAGGGGAGATGTAAAAGCAGGAGGCCAGGATGGATGAGTGTGTCATCCTAAAGAAAAGGACAGAGGAGCCGGGGCAGTGATATTCTGGAGGAATGGTGGGGGAAGCTCATGAGTACTCCTTTGGGTGTGTTGAATCTGTGATA